ACACTATCTACAGGGGCTCAAGCTAGGATATATTTGGCTATCTGAAATGGAAACCTTAAACTGGAAAGTGCATGACGATTGATTGGTCACATTATTATCAAAAGGTGTTAGCCTCTCTCTGAAATTACTGACGCTGTGAGGCTGATTGTCTGTCCCCATTCCAACAAGATCAGATTGCATGTTTCAAAAGTAAAAAGTTAAAGGGAATATACATACATCATTTGCAAACATCGAAAAATAAAATTACCAAGTTTTTACAAAATACCTTACTAGGATGTTGGTAAATGACAGTCTAAAACATCCTGTAAAATTATGGCACCTGGTGTGAAGTCATTTTCAAGAAAATGGTGTTTTTGTATACATTTCCAATGGTGGTCGGCCGACCACCGTTGGAAAAACCTAACTATTTTTCAACAATTGCTCCAACTTTACCTTTTTTCCAGTCCAAATTTTGTTTGCTATTGGTGACATGTTCCTGAACGGGTGAAGGCCAGCTAGACAGGTTCCCTTACTTCACAATTTTCAGGCATCTATAAATTGATCCATTTTATCTTTACATGTACTGGAGTCAAGGAACCAGACTTCTTGAACATTTTAGTTTTTCTTGTTTTTTCCAGCATTTCGAACACAAAACTTCAAACACGTCAGTTTAACAATATTTGATCTATTAATTATCATGATTATACTAACCCCTCAAATTGTTCATTACTGAAAATTACAGCAAAAGCCAACGATGTACATTCCCTTTAAATACGGCTGATCTAAGATACGGCTGATCTAAATTACAAATGTACATGGCTATGGCTTGAATCACACATGTGTCTATGGGAGCAGTTCAAGCCACTTCACATCCAGACATGTGTATTACTGCAGTGCTAGTCCTAGCCCCGTAATTCAGATGCAGGTGAAGTCTGCAGCATTCATGATATCGAACTCAACCTTTATCAGGGTGGTGATCAATTCTATTTCATCGCACCGTGCTGACGTTAAGTGAGACAGACACTTGTGTGTGGGAGGAATGACAAGTCAAATAGGGTATTTGATCATGTCCACCGATGGAAAATAAATGTAAAAGGTGCAACTTGTGTGGGGTGTTGGGTTTTTTTGGTGTACATCTGTTGCTGTTGATTTATTTCAAAATGTAGCTGCAGAGAAATCACACTTCTGTGCAGTATTTTTATCAGGTTCTCATACAGACCTACCGGTATTGTCGGGTCAGTGCAAAAACATCGTATTCGTAACTCAGTTTTTAGTCATTTTGAGAAAAGGGCATCAATAGTTTTGCGGTGGCTGGCTAAATTTGTGCATTTCATTAAAGCTATAGTCCATCATTTGTAATTAGTGCACTTTGTTCGTTTGAAGCAATAAAAGTTTTCAAAATCTAATGAAGGATACTGAACAACTTACTTGATAAAGTTTCAGCTCAGCTTCAGCTTCATATTCCGAGAAAAACAGCATTCTTGGATCTCAATCATGTCAATTTAAAATCAAAAGTTGCTAAATCATGTTTCGAATTGTTTTGAATTGCAGCTTTACGCGATGTCGCGCACTGATCCGACGAATTATAGCAACTGCGCGCGCCCGTGCGTTGTTCCAATGCGCGCTGCGCCGAATAACAAAACGAACAACTAATTTAAATTTTCCTACGGTGCTTCTTAAGAAGCACCGTTGGAAATGCCTTCTTTCGCTGATTTCTTCAAAATGACAGCTTGCCAGAAAGGATAATTTCACAGGGAGTTTAGTCCCCTTACTATCTTTCAACCAATATGTTTTTCATAAATAATTACGCCAGTTACTTTTTTGGATAGCTGCAAATGATGGACTTGGGCTTTACATCAGAAGATAATGTAACCTCATACCATTTATAATTTATTCAGAAACAATCATGTTCAGTAAGGTGAACTCTTTGTTATCCCGCGTGATTAAAGATAAAAGAACTTTTAAATGAATGACATCAGCATACAATGTTTTTGCTTGAGACGACGCGCTATGTTTATTTTGTCAACATGTCATAACTTGTCGAGATACAATGTTTTGGCATTAACAGACAATAACGCTGGGTTACTTTAGCACGTAGGGCTTAAATCGGGTAACGTCACAAAATATTTTTACTCTATCCCTAAAAAAATCTCAGAATTGAACAGGCCTGCTTATATAATTTACAAGAATGTTCCCAGCAGCATCTTATTCAGTGTAAAGTCTCTAGTTTAATATTTCTCGTATTTTCCATTTATTTCATTTGTTTCTCGTATTTTCCCCTTACTTAATTTTTTTTTTACAAAATCATGGCGAATTTCTAATGGCGATAATTTGGTTTAAAAAAAAAATGCAAAATATTAACTTATAAATATGGTGTCACATCGACACAAAACAAGAATTTCGATGACTTTTGAGATACAACGTATTTGCTTGCATGTCCAGGTTCGTAACCTAGATACAACCTTTTGACTGTAATAAATTACTTCATGATAACGCAATATTTTGTATAGAACTCTCCTGTAATAATCTGTGGGTAAAATTAATCTTAAAAAAACAAACACAAAAGCTGAATTTTGATAAATTTGTCAGTTACAACTTTTTGCACTGACACGACGATATACGTACATGTACATGTATGTTTTGATCAACATGACGAATTGATCAACTTCAGTAGTGTAGGGCATGCCGTTTGTGATGCACATTTTAAAACAAAAAATGTATATTGCTTGAATATAAGTAGGTGGGTTACATACATGTACGTCCGCCGATTAAAATGTATTCATTTGCACAGTACTCAAGACTTCGTAACTAAATTTCATTTCACAATATTTAAATTCAAGGTCTAAGAATAATGATCAAATTATCCTCAAAGGTATATTTTGACATTGGCTATATTCTTAAATTCAGGGTTAATTTGATATGGTTTCATATTCAACCCTAGCATTAGCTTTGAATACACGTACAAAATGTATGAATCCGTGTATGCTATTTGACAACAAAGACATGTAGTGGATATTTGGCCTTTCTGACTTTCTTTTACTTTTTTAGTAAATTCTATTAAATCCACAGATCGTACAGTGCCCTCTTTGATGCGATATGAGTAGGTCTACATTATAAGGTATTAAATTACCACCATCGTTCGGAGCACGTGTGACCGAGTTAGATATAAAACAGCTCCTAGTTTTGTCAAAATGGCATCTGCCATGTCTGCATGACATTTGCGACTCAGCCCTGCTCACCAATAATTTCACTTGTCACCCAGATTGTAGGCATGGTAGGTACCACTATCTTTAACCTCGAACTCGAACTAGTATTTTTGTGGCCGTTTTTAGCCATGCAACTTGAAATTTAAAAAAAAAACACGAAAACTTCAAACCATACAATTACAAGATTTTGTACAGTATTTTTTCAATTTGTTATGGCAATTCGTGAGAAGTAAAAAAGGCGAGAAAATCAGCGGATCCGAGGAAAAGTTGCATGCCTGTCATGCCTGTGTTTTTAAGGGTAAAATACACATAAACAAATTGTGTCAAGCATTTTGCCCGACCGTAACAATTTTATCACGATACTGGTAATACACAACGTCAATGGGCCACAGGCCCGGCCAACGCGCGCTGAAAACTCACCGGTAGAAATCTGCCGCTCCTCCGGGAAGGTCGAGAAGGAGACCGTCTTCTTGCGGGACCTCCTTCGGGTCGTATCCTTGATCAGGCTGGATCGTCTCGGCAAGGTGGGCTCTGATTCTGTCGAACCTCCTTCCTCGGAAGAGATGGAACCATTTTCTTCCTTGACCATGGACAAGGGACGAAAGAAATCCGAGTTTTCCAGGGGGCTTTCCGGCTCGCATGATTCGGCAGTGGCCATCTTTTTCCGGAATTATTATCATGCGAGTTTGTGCGTGTTTGTTGAATGTTTACGTGCTGACAGCTGTCAGTAGGGCCGCGCTGGTGACCAGTAACTCACATGTCCATTGAATTCTGTCTGATGATGGGCACCAGGCTGTTCAGGTTTGGAGTAGTGGCCGACAGAGGGCGATATATGAGTAACATTGCTTTAAGCTTTATTTTTGTCGTTTATCAAGCGCGTTTATAAAACATGTAGAGAAAAATTCGTAATTTTGAAATGAAATCATTTAAAGGTTTATTTCAGCCTTCAGTTGCCGAATCATTAACACGAAACTAAATCTTTTAAGAAAAAGGTATTTTTTTTATTTCATGAAGTTAATCCATGGGCGAGCCCATAGGACGACTCAGGAGGGCGCCACATAGGAACCATTTCTTAGGTCTAAAAATACTTTGTCATTGTCTAAAGATGCTACGAAAATTCAACTTGCCAATGCATTTTGACATGCTTAAAATTACTCCAGAAATTAAATGAAGCATTAATTTTTAAGTTCTTGGGCATTTTTTTTAATTGTATATAAAGAACCACAGCACCGGTCCAATGGCAAACGGGCAATGCACCCCATGGCTTGACTGGATTGGATCCATATGCAGAGGGCGCTTAGCGGCCTCATCTTGAGGAGGTGATATTCCTGGGTTTCGGAACTCCCCGCCCTCCAGGTAGCGGTACTTTCCTCGCCTTCCAGCGCTGTGACCCGGGTTCGAATCCCGACTGGGCCAATATGTGGATTGGGTTTTCAGTCCCTGCCTGATTCCGTGGGTTTTCCTCAGAATATTCCTCTGGGCTTTTCCTTCCACCTCTCAAACTTCTCATTGCCTTCTCTCTACAGGTTTCTTCAGGCTTGCAGCTACAGTGCAGGGCAATTTTGAGGAATTCTTGGTTTCAATACCAGAAAGAAATACATTTTTTTTAAAAAATGACCCGTTGCCACTTATAGAAGCACAACAAACAACCGTACAGATTAAGGAGACTAATCAAATCGTCAAGCAGAGCCAATGAAATATGATTTAATAACGGGATATAAGTTTTGAAACTATCGATAAACAACGAACATCGAACGTACATACGAGTATCTCTTTGTAATTAATTTTTAATACACTTATAATACACCTTAAGCTTTTGACATGACAGGCCTACAATATAAATTAGCTCACAGAAATTTTAAAAATGAACCGACAATTATTTTCATGATATTTTTGGAAACAACTCTAGCCCCCTCACTAACAGACTTCACATTGTAATACAACCAAGTATAGTTTTCACTTTTTTAAAATTCAAAATTGAAATTATGAAAAAATCTTCAGCCGCTTTCGATGCGTAGATCTTGCTGGGATATCAATCCACGCTATAGCAGTTGGTAGGATCGATCTATGAGCCAATGTTTATAACTCGAATGACAGAAATGATCACTAAAAGGTTTATGATTGCTTGTTAGTGTCAGACAAACTCGAACTCAATGTCTCCAATGACTTCGTCTTCATTTCAGTCGTGAACCTAGACTTCATCAACTCGCTATTCAGGGCATGACGCCTGTTCACTACCACGGTATAGACGGTGTACAGGTACGGGTTGAGGGAGGAGTTGATGGGTAGAATGAAGACCACAATCCAGGCATACATATCTGGACCGATATCCACCGCCCCAGTCTGTGACAGAATTCCCATGATGATGACCGGCATCCAGCAGGCAAAGTCCGTCCCGACTATCAGCGCCATCTTGATCGCCATCTTGATCTCTCGGTCGCGGTGTGCGGAGTTACGGACCCTGGAGGCTGTGCGCTTGACCTTGACAAAGATGGCGACGTAGCAACCCAACACGACCACAAAACAGAGCAAATTGACTCCGAGAAACAGAATGATGGAGTAGATCCAGGCAGGCTGGTTCCCCTGACCAACAGGGATCGGGATCGTGTTGGAGTCACCAAGGTTGTGCTGTTTGGTATCGTAACTAGTCGGGACTGTGGTTAAAGGTAGACCGATACAAACATCTGATAGGCCGTACACCTCCGAGTCAGAACCAACAAAGACGGTAGGCCCGACACTCACACACACCGCAGCCAACCAGATGATAGTTATCATTACAGTGGCTGACTTTTGCCTAATTCGAAACCGACTGAAGGGGAACACGATGGAAAAGAAGCAGTTGAGACTGATCAAGGTGACGAAGAATACGGAAGCCTCGCTGGAAAGAACCGACAACACCCCAGCTATCTTGCAGACGATGCTAGACCGCCATTCACTAGCCTCGTTAGAGTAATCTTCGCCAAAGTGTATATCAGCCCCGGCTATAATCAACATGTACACCCCCATCATCAGGTCAGAAATCGCCAGATTGAAGACGAAGAAGGAGTGTGTCCTCCTCCCGCCCTTTTCTTCGCCCTGAAAACACCTCCAGATAATAACCACCGCGTTGCCGATGAGGGCGCTCAGGCCCAGAACCCACATGGAGACGCGTAGTAGTTGGTTCCTCATTAGGTCGCCGCAGAGGTTCAGCGGTGGCTGAGCTTCTGTCGTCTTGCAGTTAGTCACTGGAAAATGCGGCAAGAGTTCAACAAACTCACAACACAGGCGGTAGTCGTCTACATACCTATATCAGAAACGAGGCAAGAAAAGTCAAGGTACATTGTCTTCAGTTGAAAAGGAATCCGATGTTATAGGCTTTGTGCGGTGGAGTATTGGTAGAAAACTGTGGATGCACTATGAGAAGTGACTTAGAAGTAGTTCTAATGACAATCGCAGCTCTAGCCGAGTTAACACATCTATTTATTTCATTTCTCCTTAACAAGTCATCACTTCATAACCCTCAAATAGCCCCTATTTCATAAAGGATGCAAATTGTTCTAATTCATGAAACTGTTTTGGAAAGCCACTTACAACATTTCGAAACTCTCGAGATCGGTTAATGCATCCTTCTCGACCTCAACTGCAGTTTTGAGGGACGATTTGCCTCGGATCAGTACCCTGAAAAATAATGGAAATCATTCAAATTGGTGCCCTCATAGAGTTTTTTTTTAAATATTACATCACAAGAACTTCTTATCTAGACATCACAACGTTTATGTAAGACAGGAAGATTGCAAACGACTGCGACTGCGCTTTAGTACACGATAGACATCTCTGGAACACTTTTACGTTTGTCTTTATTGATACAAAATGGCAGAAGATTTCAACTAAGGTAAGAGCGCACCATTTTATCTATACGTCGCGCATTTGCCCAGGCCGTATATTATACAAATATTGAATGCTTCGAGTGGTGTAGTAAAACTAGGCTCCCGAGGTGATCCATGGACATTCTATTTTCCCGAGGCGAAGCAGAGGGAAAAAAGAATGCTCCATGGATCACCTCGGGAGCCTAGTTTTACTTCACCACGAGATAAAGCATTCAATATTTGTTTTATAACACTTCACCCACAGATTCTGCTTGATTTTAATATTTTAAATTATTTAAATCTGAACACAGTTGAAATAAACTTCAATTTCAATACAAAATTGGTGGAAAATGTATTTCTCTCTTCCAAACTACCCCTTCGCGAAATGTTTGAACCCAACTCTGTGGCGCGCTCTCTTTTGGAACAAAACGCGCTGCGTGCAACGCGCAACGCGCACACCAGCATCCATTTGCACACAAATACCGCGCCGTGGAAATAGTACTTTGGTTGCTAATGGTATAGTACTTTGGTTGCTATGCGCATAGTACTTTTGGCCGTGCACAGAAAGATAGCAAAATTAGAAAGTAACATGTGACTCGCTCTCGGCCAATCAAGACACAGAATCGGTGGGTGAGGTGTTATAATCTCAACTATACATTTATATCCGGGACGAGTTTGCTGATTATTGTATCGGGTATAAGTTGCAAGATGCTGAACAACTTCCCCGCAATCTTCCCGCAATGACGTTATCATGAGTGATCAACCAGTTGCAAAAAATGACGAAAATTTCCGGAAACCGGAACAAGCAGCTTCTTCCGGACACAGTGAATAATTATACACGCAACTTGTCCCGAAGTCGTCCTGGATACGAATTGAGATGGGGCTTATCCGCACTGATCTCTATATAAAGACTGGATAGCGGTTATCCATACACGAATCACACAGTAGACTTTGCATATTGACCAATTCGCCCCCGGTCTCACGAAGATGGCCGCGTATATTACAAACGTTCTACGCGCATATATCGCGCGCACTGTCTGAAGAGTTGACGCGCATTTTGGTCACGTACACGTATTATGGTGTTCTAAAAAGGACACATTTCCGCAGTGATTATTATTTCCAAAACGCCGAAAAAGGAACTGCCGCATTAAAAAAAAAGTAAACCACGACATAAGAAAAATTGTAAACCGTGGTCAGTGGTGGTGGTCAAAATATAATTCAAGTGAACCGCGATGTAACAAAAGTATTCATGATGCCTATAAAGACGGCGACTTGTCCTGTGTAGATCACCAGCCGCGGTCTCACCGGTCTCACCAATATGGCGTCAAATTCATTCATTGTGCGGCTCTTTATCTGCTATCCAGTCTTTATATAGAGATCAGTGCTTACCCGTCACGGCCAATGAACACGTCATCATCACGTGCTTTCAACTCAAATCACCACCGACAATCAGTGGTTTCGCAGCCATTTGAAAAACGCATATCAATGAAACATTGAATAATGACTTACATTATCTTCAGTTTCTTCAGTCCATTGAAGGCTCCGTTTCTGATCCAATCAAAGGACATATTCTGAGCCAAACTGTGGAGTAGGCAAAGGGAGACAATGTAATGCCAGATACAACTTCGCACCCAATAATATGAAGCCTAAGTCTAAAAACCCTTTGATTCAGCAGCCATCTAGGATGTTTTTGTTCAGCAAAAAATCGATGTCTACTCATGCGTATAGAAAAAGCACGTCCTGAAAGATGGCTGCAATGCAAAAGATCTATCAGAGCTAAAACCGTATAGATTCTGTGTTGATGATCAAAAGAGGTAAAGCAAATAATAATTGTCTGATTTTATTAAGGCCAAAAAAAATAATAAGTCGGTCTCTGGTCAGCGCGCGCGTCGATTTTAATCTTGAGCGTCAATCTTTTTTTTTCCAAAATGTTCCGGGGTAGCTCCAACAGCGCCCTCTATTGCCGCACCTCCTCAATTTTTTTTTACCAAAGAGCACCAAGGAATGGGAAATTGCACCAAGGCAAATGATCGAGAGCACCAAGGCAAATTATGGAGGACACCAATGTACATGAGAACACCAAGTAGCAAAATAGTACCCCAGCTTGTCTGTACAATCCAAGCTTGAAGAAAAAAAAGCCCCCCCCCCAAAAAAAAAGCCGCGTCCCCGCGTTAATTCCGGAACTTTGGTCTGACCAGAGACCGAATATTATTTTTTTGGCCTAAAAGGTGATAAATATCATTATGTGCCACACGACCATACGATTGGTTCACTGAGGTTTATAAGCCATTTGTCAGGCTATATTAAAACATAAAACAACGATATTGATGGATGACACTTCTAGGTACTAACATCTGCAATCTTCTTAAAAAAGATCAAATGAAATCTGTAACTGGTGTAACATTCTTACAGGCTTTGCAGATCCTTCAACTCGTGAAACCAGTCCGCTTCAAAGCTTGTGATGAGATTGCCGGATATATTTCTGAGAATAGGATAAAAAAAAAGGACAGCTCTAATCCACATTCCAAATCATTCCAATCGAAAACAGAAACGCAATCAGTCACGTGGAATTTGACGAATGATTTAAAATATACATGAGCAATATTGCATCTGCAGAGCAACATCAGCAAATATTCTAAGATCGTTGCTCTGAAATTGTACTCACAACGTTGTTAGATTTTGTAGCCCATCAAACGTCCCAGGTTCAAAATTGCTGATGCTGTTGTTGATGAGACGTCTGGAATTGTAACGACAGACACAAACGAATGAAAGTAACATTTCTGCTCTATCAAAAGAGCAATGCGAGGCAATTTATACGACCAAATATATAGTATTATTACATTTTGGTTCTGAATCAGCATTTAGTAATCGATGTTTTTGTAACTGAGCCAAATGTCTAAGCAGCAGTAATAAGCAGAAATCGCTATTGATAACAATAGGCAGAAAACCACTTACTACCAATATATATCAAACTGACTGTAAGGCCAAAAACGTCTCCGGTTTTTGGCATGCGCGCGTTTCGCCGTAGCCATGCGCGTCGGCAAAATTAAATAACATGTTTTTTTACGATGTCTCAAAACCGCAAAGGTCACTGGCTTGGCTGGAATCCTGCTGCTGCTCAGTTTTAACGTGTTTTAGGGGGGCTACGATCGAGTATAAGCTTGATGTGTCCTCTCTGGGCTCCCATATATTTTGCACTAAATTTAGTCGGGCATTTATAGAAAAAAGAGGGGGGTGAAAAAAACTCGCGTCGCTACACTACATGAGGCAAGCTCCATACCAGAAACCGGATACGTTTTTGGCCTGAGCTGTTTTAACAAAGCAAAGTATGAACGCACTTAGCAGCTCTGACATTTGCCCCACACTGATCAGACTCAAGATGAGATATTGCAGTTTAAACTTACAATATTCTCAGTTCTGAAAATTCTTTGAAGAGTCCTGCATCCAGAACGCTGACGTTGGCGCCGGACAGTGTGCTGAATTCATACCAGTGGTGAGAAATAATGGTTATAAGATCATAATAAGTGAGGGAGCACAAAGATAAGCGTAGGTAATATAGAAGATCAAGGCTTGCGATGTGAAATCCATTAAAGTTTACAAAACTGACAATTTTTTTTCGACGCACCAACCATCCAACCAACCGACTATCGAGCAAAAACACATGCCTCTAATCTCAGCTATAATTAATACAAAAAGCAAGCCATTTTGCAATCAGAAAAGTAGGCTTACACATATCTTTGCAAATGGTTTTAGGATTAACAATATTAACTTACAGGTCCTCTACTTTTGTAGCAATACGTCCGATAGTAGTCTGATTCCAGCCGCCAATGCAGGCAACCTCAAAAATCCCATTCATCTTGCATTTGCACTCAGTGGGGCATCGATGAGTTACTGACAGAAATAATCAAGCGAAATAATTTAGGAACGACAGATTCTAATGAAAAGAGGCTAAGATTTTTAGGTACACGTACATAGCTCAGGAAATCAATTTCTGAAAGCCATTTACAGATAAAAATGACCTCATGAATAAAAACAAAAGTGAAACAAGCCTGTGCTTTTTTTTTCTGTGACAGCACAAAATGAGGAAAAGTTAGAAACAAACGAATACAAATTATCACATCTCTTTTACTAAATGAAAAAGAAACATTCGTACCACATTCCCGTTCGGTCTCGTCATCTGCATTTGGGCAGTCCGGGTTGCCATCACAAACCATGGGCCAGTAGATGCACTTCACTGAGTTGTTACAGAGGAAGAAGTCTGGACAGGACACCATTTCTAGACAAAAAAATACAACCAACAGCTGACCATTGCAGAGATTATATATGATTAGGATGAGCCCATGTTAATTTTGCAGACTTATTTCTTGAGCTGTGTCAAAATTATTCAGAAAAACTCTGCTTTTTATTTTGCTACAGTATTATTTGCAGCTGGTTTCATGCGCTATTTCACGAATACACTGCCAAAATAGCGGTGTTACATTGAACGCCGCTGGTATCTGCATAGGACCACTCGTGTAAACCCACACTTGTTGCACCGGTGCACTGCAAAAGCTGTAGTGTTAATTTAACACCATTCGGTATCTATATAGGACAACACCAGTAAAATTTAACACCAGGTGGTCCTATATAGATACCAATGGTGTAAATTTAACACTGCAGTTTTTGCAGTGTGTTAAAGTTATACCACAGGGTTTTTGTAGTGTTTGTTCTTTGTCTTAATGTGTTTCTGACGTACCACAGTCTAGCTCGTCCCGCCCGTCCGTCTGACAATCTACGAAGCCATCGCACCGAGCATCAACCGACAAACAGGAACCATCACCGCAATCAAACAGGCGCGCGTCTGGGCACGGTTTCTCAGCTGTTGCGAACGCAAAAGTAATGCATATTATGTTGGCTATTTCAAGCCTTACTTCGGGATTTTCCTTTGAAAAAATGGCATTTCTTTAAGTCGTGATCCTATTTTGGGTGAAGTTCTAAGGCTAATTCGGCCTTTACTCCTATTCAGACAGCAAATGGAATTAACCATTTCTAGAGAAACATTGTCCTAATGGCCATTTGTATCCCTTTCATTAAATAGCACAATTATAATGTTTTTAAAAAAAATTTGGAATTTTTCGGCAGATATTCTGGCACATTTAATTTTGCGATAATTTTAATTCATTCTACTAAGTGAAGTGTTCAAAATAGTTAATGCAGTTAGGGCAATAGTACTTACATTTCAGTGAATAATTACCATTCAGCATGAACCAAAACCCACTGTTCGTCACAGACAGATCAGAAATGAAATGAACCTTCACTGTCGTTGCATTGAAGGCGATTGTTCGCACTTTGGTGGTGCCGTCAAGCTCAAACGCTTCGGTCGAAGCATTGACGAAAAACTGAACTTTGTCACTGTTTCTCTCTGTATCGAACTCTTCGATCGATACCAGTATCGACTCCGATTTTCTCGCCACGATCTCCCAAATGCAATGGATATCATTGGGGTAGTTGGAGGGGTAACCCGGTGACGTGAAAGAAACAGGATAGCTCCAAATACTGTAGCGACCCATCCCACATTCATCTTTGAGAAAATAAAATAAATGAAACAATTTTTCAAATAACATTGAGAACAATCATTATAGAATTAATTTCGTTGGTCACGCCATCTTAGAGTTGGAATACGTTTGAATGTTTGTCGTTTACACCATGAACACTAGAGGGCGCCTTACCCCTTGAGCATAGTGGTCGGCCCCTCTCGGACGTGTCGTTTCTAACACAAACCAGTTCGTCCTTTTTGCAAGCAATTTCATCTTCTCCACACGAAACTAAAAATAAAAATGTGCATTGATAAGAAATTAAAATGCACAGATCGTCATCTATTCGCAAGCTTTTCCCTAAATAAATTTTACAACCATAATCACATAGACTCTAATTGTTAACAAAGTATTTCGAAAATCAAAGCAGTGTAACTTTCTTGAGACGAGGAGGATTAAAATATTTCTCTGTAAAACACAACATAATTTAATGGCAGCCGAAGAATAATACTGAAGTCAGTAAACACTTTAGTCTAAACTCAAGTCTTATTGAAAAGCATATGCTTACCATATTTGGCCGGTTTCTGCTCAACATTGAGCAAAAAGCCCTTCTTCCTAACACTCAGATCGGAAGTGAACTTTGCAAACATCGTGTTGCCACTGGACGCAAGACTAATGGGAAAATATTTCCTGAAATCACAAATTAGAGGACACACCTTAAATATCGTTTACAGTCAACAACGTCACTTCCGCCAAACCAACGCTCAATTTTTAAGAACTAAATTTCAAGTTAGTTTATGATAACTAAGAAAATGGGCCCGAAAACACAATTGTTTCCACAGGATCCAAATATTTATGAATTTGAAAATGATAAAAATATTTGAAAATGATAAAAATATGGCAAGCAAATACTATAAATGACATTGTTTTAAACTTAAATGTGCTGTTCTTAATCGATATCATTTTTTGCATGCAAAAACTGGAATTCGGATTATGCGATTCAAAGACCCGTTGTTACTTTATGAGTGAACGTCCGATGCAATCAGGCAACAGATGATAACGTCACCTCGCGTTAAACAACAACCACACCTTAAGATTGTAAAAGAATTGTAGGTATAAATGCAGCTTTGGAAAAGTAGGGCAACACTTTCCCGCAGGCTTTTGACATCACAATAGATTTCCAAACCTAACTTACCCACTTGCTTCGAAAATGCTGTCTTCGAATCCAACGCCATTGCTGCAAAAGAAGTAGTCGTAGCCTTCCTCGATTAGGAACTCAGTGAAAATCAGAACGATACGGTATCCCACTTCTGCCACCACCAACCAAAAACACTGCAGTTGATCGGGGTACTCGTCGATTGGCCAGCCGGGAGAGCTGATATTGAACGATCTATTTCCTGCTAAATCAAAAATGCCTTCACCGCACGGCCCTGTTGTGTACAACAATTAGAATAAATTGTTAGATCAAAGTCTAAAACTGTTACAAGCTTTTTTAAGTTGAATAACAAATGTTACTTTAAAAAAGTGATAATGAATGGGATGGAATGAGAACAGATATTCAATCAATTCAAAGCTTGAAAAGAATTTCGTGACAAGGGAAACTGGAATGACAGTACATTAGAAGGAATAAAAACGTTTCCCATAAATGTTGCATTATAATTTTCAAGTGAAGATGTTAAGTAGATTAAACAGCTCACGAAAAATGGATTAAGGAAGAAAACAGAAAATCGCACCGCAGTCGAATTCATCTGAGAAGTCCGCGCAGTCAATGTTTCCATCACAGAGGCGATCACTTGAGACGCACTGGTCTCCCGACCGGCAGTGAAACTCACTCTCAGAACAGTTACCTGTTTGCCAAATATAAGGTTAAGGCAAAGATCTCAGAATACCTTTCATAACAATGGAAACATAAAAACTTCAGGTCACTATCAATAAAGCATTTATAAGCGATTTAATTCACTTAACTGCAGAAATATACATGGTATAGCTATTCTTTTAGAACTATCACTTACCACACCCAATTTCGTCCGAATACTCTGGGCAGTCTGCCAAACCATCGCAGACGGCTGTTTCATGGATGCATGCGATGCCAGAAGAGCATCGCTGCTGATTCGGCAGACATTCTGAAACAACGATGAACTCAAAGTAATTGTAAACATTAGATTTGTATCCTTCACACGATATATCACTCTTAATATATGAATCACAGTTGACATATGTGAATCACTCCGATATCAATGAACTGTTTTAATTACACTTTTATTTGAAAACAAAACAACCGTCTAGATAGTGTTTGTAAACATCAAATATTTCTGCAGAAATGATATCTCCTGCCAAATCCCTAAACTTACCAACATCGGTGAATTGACGAACGTCAATTGCCAACACATCTGCATAACCAGATGTAAAACATTCCTTCACGATCACCATCACCGATTCATTGGTAGAAATGGAAGTCGGGTAGTTAGTCTTCTTGTACGAAGAAGCACTGCCGACCGTCCTTATGGTCCGGATCTTGTCCAGGTCATCGGGATCGGAGGTCGTAACAAAGGTCACGCGGCACAGTCGTGGGAGCTTTTGAATGTTGGCCTGAATTTTGGTCCCCACGTCTGATTCCACCTTCCATAGACACTCCACTCTGGGGTTATTGTGCTCAATCGCATACGTGACGTTAGGACGAGTGCGTGTGGTTTCATTCCCACAGTAACCTGCGAGTATCAAAGTCGAACTATCAAGCGACAAATCCAAGCTCATAATTACCCGACTCCAACCGGTCTTGAACAGAGTATTTACCGGCCAAGCACATATTTATTTCCATTCATAAATATCTTTCCAGTCAATAAAATCAAACCTTTTCGGCCCACTTAAGTCAAAAAAGTTATTTAAAAAAAAAACATAAATTTGCCACGATTTTGTTTAACAATTTTACTTCATGTTTTTCGAAGCACCTCTCGGGCTATACAATGGAATGTCCATATCCCGAAAAGTCGCAAACATCTCCTTTGTCTCAATGTATTGAGATTGGCGCGCACGTTGGCGCGTACTGCGTAGTGTTGCGCATGCCTATAGCCTACGGGAAAAGGCACTGGATTTTCTAGGAGTCCACATTTTATGTGACACTGGAAAAGTCTTTAAGACCAACCAGCCTTTATCACCCGTTTAAAACCGATCATGGGATAGGCTCTCGACCAGTGGGAAAGTAAACTGTCTTAGGTGTTTATGGATAAAACCAATCCTTTATCATGCTGCCACCATTTCAGTCATGTTCCCTGTATCCTATAACAGTACTGAATGATAATGTTTTTGTGCAAAAAGGAACCAGACTATTTTTTCTTCCAGCCTCGCTTTGGTTTAAGTTGGAAATAATTAAGATGGCCGTAACATGATAATGGTCCATAAGGACCCTTCTATAGCTACCAACCAAACCATTCAAAACGAAACTTACCGCACAGAAACTCATCAGATCGGTCATAACAGTCAGCCTTGCCGTTGCATATTTGATAACGAGGTACACACTCTCCCGTTAATGCACACTCAAAGTGATGCTTCTCGCATAGACCTATACAATCCAGAATGATAAAACATATAGTGGTGGCATTTACTATTATTTTTTAATTTTGAGGTTAAATTGATTACATTATTCTGTCGAAAATGAAGGAAAGGGTTCCTTAACATTTGCCCAAAAACAGGTACTCTGCTTACATTAAAGCCAGTGTATAGAAACATCATACATGAAACAGTTAGTTTGGGTTCGAAGAATGTGAGAAATGTCAGCTAATTGGTCAATCTGACTACCCAAGATCAATGAGCTAGATACCCGTTTTATTGAACGATTCTGAAAAAAAAGAATCATGTTATATAATGGAAAGGTGGATTATTTTTGTGTGTAGGTTTTCCGGGATATTGAAAAACATTTTCCATTCAAATTCACCAACTCTAACATTCGATTTCGTCCGAGAAAAATTTCACGCGCTTTTAACATTTTAGTCAACAAATCCAATTTAGTCATTTACTATTCCATTTCATAGTTCGGTCAACCTCTTTAGTCACTTGGTCGAGAATATTCGTCATTACAGATCAAATTCGTCTAAGCTGTTGCCGAATGGCAGCATTCAGAGATCAAACTCGTCATATATAAATCAATTAGGCGTATTTGATTTTTGAAAAACAAGATTTAGCGTGGACGAGACGAAATCGAATACGTCGGGATGAAAACGTGCGCTCATTGTTTCAATTTGCTTGAACTGAATTTGAAATTGTCTGACAAAAGACGAAATTAAAACATAGGAAGTGCACTAAATCAACAAATTTGAATATAAGAAACGAGGAATTCTAATAATAAACTGGCCGAGAAAACCAATAATTAACAATTGACAAACAGTATCTCTCTTACCACAGCCTAGTTCGTCTCCGTATCCAGGGCACTCCCTCTCGCCATTGCACACATGAGATGCGTTCTCCAGACAACTCAGGCCAGATGGACATGCAAACTCACTCACATCACAATCTTCAAGGAAAAAATGTCCAAAAGAAAAATTAAAAGAACGGCAAGAAAGGACTAATCACCAAAGAATCCCATCATGTTATTACTAATTGCACATCATTCAGCAGTTTACTTATCAAATTTGCATCTGAAATGTGATACTAAACCTACCTGTGGTGTTGTAGGTAGTGAAGACCAGCCTCAACTCGCTGAGGTATCCATAACTTCTTGACAGCCCAAGAGTGAGCCACATTCCCTGACCACTCGATAAAACTTGAGCCGGTAAAAAGAACGATCCGGAATTCGTGTCCAGCACGAGAATTGGTATCTCGTTCACCGGATCGTATCCGTTGCCAACCGTTAGGACTATCTGGTTCCCGCTGAATTTCTCCACCACTAGCCGGATTCTGGTTCCGGCAGGCTCCGTCAGGCGCCAGACGCACTCGAACTGCATCGGTTCTTCATTGTAATGGGTTACCATGACGCCGTCTGACGAAGAGTTATCCGGAACCGGTCCGTCTGATCCGGGATATATCCCGTAGAATCCGGTGAAATGAGTGGATGAGGTGCCGACAACTTGACTTGCATTTGCCAGAATGGTGAGCGGTTCCTCAAGATGTAAAACGAGATCTGACGCACCACAGTAATCTAGGTGCGAGTAAAGTTTGTTTCAAGTTTGTACCTAAGACATAAAACTAAGATGAAAAATGAAGATTTGTCGAAATAACAAAATATGGATGAGTATGTGGTCTGTATTATTGATGGAAAAAAATACTCATATAGGGCGCCATCAAGATACAAGTTAGGCCACACGTGCATTTGCATCTCTTTCGTGTCAACTCAAATTGAAAAGAAAAGAACCACAAAAAATCATACACCAAAACTGATATTTTTAATTACGATAAATACAGACAATGGTCAAATTTCAAACTAACAACATTTTTTTACTTGGAATCCTGAAAAAGACATCTACCAAAAGGGCGCCCTTAATTCGACAACTAACGTACAAGTTTACAAGGTCCATTCGTTATATGATTAAAACAGATTGATAAGATGTGTCCAACAATGTGTCCAACAACAGCACTGCATCCTTATTATACTCATGTCAGGATTAGTTTATAAAGGATTGCCATTTCGGACACAAAGTAATACATTGCCACCACTGTTTTCTGAATCTATCGTCATATACTCACCACAGTTACCGCCCTCATCCGTGTAATCTGAACAGTGGGCCTTGCCATCACATACAGCGTGCATTGGTATGCATTTCGAATCGATGGTGCACAGTACTTGCCCAGTTGCACATTCAACTGCAGTTTGAAAGGTAAGAAGTTTTACCGAAATAGAAAATAAATAGTGATGGTTTCACTTGTGTCATTACAAACACTGCCAGCAATAAATGGGCCTACATGTCTTGGGTAAGGATGTTCATGTCTTGAGTAAGTGTGCTATTACGATGATTTTCAACCACATCTTGGTAAAAATGTAATATAAGTTAAAAGTGAAATTAAATCCCCGGTGTATACCTTCCACACTTGTAAGGTTCTCCAATCGTAAAAGGATCGTTTGAATTCGTTCTTCGCCGTTGCCCAGATGAAAGAATGACGTCAGAGAGATCCAAAGATTCCGATCAAAGAAGAAGTAGGAGGAGCCGTTGTCACTCTTGAAAGTGCCACTGTCAATCTCCGTCAGTAAGGAGGAACGATTGCTGGTGTCGTGTCCCCGTCCGAAGGAGAGCTTCTGATAATTCTGTAGATTAAGAGAGAGCAGGTCTAGGAACACGACAAATGAGTCCCGTTGGGCGACGGTGATCAGCCACACACACTCCCAAGATACTTGGTTGTCTGGGATGGACACGCTGAGAAGATGCCGGTCATCGAGGGCTATGTCGCCATACCCACAGATCAAACCTGAAGGAGGCAAATACATGTAAGTGTCCGGGCGTATCCGGATGCGGGGGGAGGGGGTTGGAGCAGGACTGGCGTGGGAGAGCCGGGTGCTCATTCTTGTTTATTTTTCAATTAAGTTTTAGACAAGACGACAAATTATTTAATGAAATGAATACCAAATCTTACCTTATCACTATTTGAAGATTAGATTAGGACTTAAACTTATATATAACATTTTTTGTACAGCTTTGTTAGCTTTCGTGGCGCCATAATGACAAATTATAATTGAATACTCCATTCAATCAGCGCAAACAAATTGGTAAACTAAACAGATTGTTTGACCGACCGACCCTAATAGTATTTTTGATAGATATGTAATCGGAAGCAAAACCAACAATTCTGGGGGCCTTATCGAGTAAAAATTGTCAATATTGTATGCTTAGTAGCTCCTCAAAATCGGCCCAGCTCTAGACTGCGTGTTTTTGGTTGGGACTTGTAGAAAAATCGAGCTTTTTCATTTTGAGGATTACATTTTACAGAGAGGTTGAAGATAATTCTGGAAAAAAATACGAAGATGAAAAATATGTGAATTTTTCTGTCAACAACAGGTTTGAAGGAAATAAATTAAAATTGTAGAGTGTGTTTCAAAAGTTTTCTACAATTTCAGATACAAACTTATATTTGTGACTCGTGAGTAAGTAATCTTAGCAAACCCATCGCAGTAGTTCGTCTGATTCCTATAGGAATTGACATTTCTAATTAAGAAACAGTTCGACCTTGCTGAAGAAAAGGTCCCATCTATACTGCCCAGTTTACACAATTACTGTAATCGAGGCATATGCTGGCCCAAATTAAACATTTCATAAAAACAGGTGAAGTTGCAATCAATTAAGTGCTGTATTTATGCCGTATCTAATACAATGAGCCCCTTTTCTTCAAGTTCGTAACTATAATTTGGTGAAGTCTGGTAAGGCCGCGTAGGAGTTCTTACTCACGGAATCCATTGTTCGAGGAAATATGTTCTTATTTGGATAGTGCTGCACACAAACATCATTTGAGACCATCGTGATTAAATCATGCATTTAAATATACTCTACTCTGTCGAAGCTGACAGCACAGAAATTCGAGTTTAATCAAATCCATGTATATCATTTGCTGAAATCTAGGTTAATAGGTTGCTGTCTTTATTGGTGATTCGTAGATATCTCATCTGTTTAATCAATTTGAATGTTACTGTATTAAAGCATGGAGGAAAAAAAACTTCCTCCATGATTAACCCTAAACGGGCCGGGGCGGAATCCGCCCCCCCCCCCCTCAACTTTTCCCGCGATAGCTGTAAAATATATTTTTTTCGCGACCCGAGCCGTTATGACTTTTTAGCCTCGAACCTTGCGCATCTTTTGATACCAAAAACATAAAAATGTTACGGTATTTTACTTTCCCTGTAAGGAGAGTTGAGTAAAATGGCGGGGGAAAAAGAGCGCCTCTTGCGTATTAAGGAAGGTCCTTACCCGAATTGTCTGGATATGGTTGTACCTCACACGAAGCCGACGCTACAGCGCTGTTCGACAAGATTAGGTGTATTTCAATCTGACCCCGTGCAGTAAACATCTCTGCAGGAAGATTTTCACTGAACGAGTACAACTGTGGGGCACCGGGAACGCCATCACGCATCGATGCATAAATGGAGTTAGGCCAACTTTGAAAGAATTGGCACGCCGCCCGCAAACCCATCCGTTCTGTAGATGTTATATTCCAGCAGTACTGTTTGTAAAGCGAATGCTGAAAGGGATCTTGAGAGGATGTTGATATTGACAGGGTGTGGTTTGCATCTACGATGTGCATGTGTTCACAGCTCAACAACGCCACTGCGAAAAAAACGTTAACAATATTAATTTTCTTCTCAAGGCAGACCAAGCTATTGTCAGAAATTAAGCTGTAACATCCCAACCCAAAAATTACAAAACTCACTGTACTAACAGTGTAGTACGTATGACAAAAATCTGAAAGCAAATAATTTGTGAATTTTGACCCTATATTGTACCACATCCAAAGCACGCATGGATGGCACGTATGGATAAATACACTCAATCAAAATAGAAAGTCCCCCCTTAATGTTTTTTTTGTCTGACTCAAAAACGACTGGGCACATCTTGCTCAAATTACGACTGATCAGTACAGAAATTCCTTAGCAATCCAGTCATACTCTTCTTTTGGCCCAAAACAGTGATAATGTGTACACAATTATGCAATTTAGGCCAATGGCAATTGCTGCTGAAAAAGGGTGCACATCTGTATGATATGCGTGCAAGGTGAGCAGTGGCGTAGCCACCGGGGGGTGTGGGGGGGGGCGACCGCCCCCAATGAAACCTTGTCGCTCCCCCCAGTCCCCCCCCCCCCCCACTGAGATTTTGACATTCTAAAAAATATATCATTGATCTACATGACGCCATGGGCGTCAATCCTGGGCGGCGGAGGGGGGGGGGGGACAGGGGGCATGTCTCCCCCCCCCCCCCCACACTTTTTGAAGGGTGGGGGACACAATATCAAATTCCCCCCCCCCCAGATTTTTGAACTCGTGTCTCATTTACAGGGCCCTATTATGTACTACAATGTATCTTTTGCTTAGAAAATATTGGTTAAAGTGGTCAGAAATTGCCTCAGATAGCACCACAGAGCATTTAGAATCCAACAATTTTCGGGGCCCTTTCGGGGCCCCCGAACCCTACGCCGTAAGGGCTTCGCGCTTTGCGCTTCGCGCTTCGCGCTCACATCAGTTCTGATCAAGGTATGTCCGCCCCCCTCCACTTTTGAGAAGCAATTGACGCCCCTTCATGACGCCCCCCATGAAATGTTCCAGCCCCCCCCCCCCCCAGCGCCCCCCCCCAACTGAAAAATTCCTGGCTACGCCACTGAAGGTGAGTGTGAACCACAATTTGCCCGTATAAAAAAATGCAACTGTTTTCGGTATCGTTTGTCATAAATTGCTTAAATTCTTACACATTATCACTGTTTTAGGCCAAATAAGGAGTAAGACTGGATTTAAGTATTGGAAGGGGGGACTTTCTTTTTTTGGTTGAGTAAAGGTCATGCAGCGAGGTTTTGGTTTATATATTTTACTTTTTCGATCTATTTATTTACTTTTTCGATCTATATATTTGACTTCTTTTTTTAATATATTTCCACCTTTATAAATCCAGATCTCGTGTGAGTGCAACTTGGCCATCACCGATAGTTCATGTACAAACAGAGAACTCTCTGTTTCATCAGGACTATCCGAGTAATTCACCGGCAAATCACGTACCTGCGAGTTGAAAGCAACGGCAGATAACCAACACGAGAAACAGCACACAACGACCCATCTCCACTCACTCGAGAAGCATTAATATGTTCTGGTGTAGAAAATGGGGAACAATTGCATTAATCAAAGGTCCGAAGCCATGAATTTGAAGAGTACTGAATTTTCCCCCAAAAAAATCAGAGAATAATAAAATAATAAACTGGTGAGCTAGTGGTAAGAGCAAAGAGATGGGTTTTGAGAAGCTTCTTGAAAATGTGGATAGATTGGGAGTCTCTGATGTGTAATGGGATCTTGTTCCATTCTTAAGGACCTGCAATGGAGAATGTTTTGTCTCCTGTACTCTTGGTGGTGATGGGTGTCTGTAAGCGGGACTTATCAGATGAAGACCTGAGCCCCTCCCTAGTATACCAGGTTCATGAAAGGAAAGAAGTTCAGCCAAGTAGGGGGAGCTGAGCCGTGTTGTGACTTGTAGACATGCCTGAGTAATTTGAAAAGGATTCGTTGTTTGAGTGCTAACCTGAGAAGCCACTCTGAGTAGTGTGTTGGGTCTCTATTGCACAAAAGAACTAAAACAATATGGCCTAATTAACATAATAATAAAATACCCTTAATGATTTATTGCACAATGGATATTAATGATTTTTGAACAATGGGTATCCCTTAAATGTTTATAGCACAATGGCATCCCTTAAATGTTTATTGCACAATGGCATCCCTTAAATGTTTATTGCACAATGGCATCCCTTAAATGACTATTGCACAAAGGGTATCCCTTAAATGATTATTGCACAATGGCCATCCCTTAAATGTTTATTGCACAATGGCATCCCTTAAATGTTTATTGCACAGTGGCATCCCTTAAATGTTTATTGCACAATGGCATCCCTTAAATGACTATTGCACAAAGGGTATCCCTTAAATGATTATTGCACAATGGCCATCCCTTAAATGTTTATTGCACAATGGCTATCCCTTAAATGATTATTGCACAAGGGCTATCCCTTAAATGTTTATTGCACAATGGCATCCCTTAAATGTTTATTGCACAAAGGCTATCCCTTAAATGGTTATTGCACAATGGCATCCCTTAAATGTTTATTGCACAAAGGCTATCCCTTAAATGATTATTGCACAATGGCCATCCCTTAAATGTTTATTGCACACTGGCTATCCCTTAAATGTTTATTGCACAATGGCTATCCCTTAAATGATTATTGCACAATGGCTATCCCTTAAATGTTTATTGCACAATGGCTATCCCTTAAATGATTATTGCTCAATGGCTATCCCTTAAATGTTTATTGCACAATGGCTATCCCTTAAATGATTATAGCACAAAGCCTTACATCGTGTAGCGCAGAAGGATGATGGAAATATTAAATAATTTCGAGTCCGTAGTAAACGATTTACTATGGCTTCACCAACGGAGCGTGAGCTCGGTCAATTAGCGGGAAATATTGTAAAGATGAGTCGTGATATGCCAGAGGATGGAAGTCAACGTCAGTGGGGAAAGTTGATGTTGAATCTTGGTTCAACAAGGGGTGCAGTCATCATCCCTCGTCTATTACTTACACCATGGAGTTTCTATTATTAGATAACGAACTTGAATCCTGACTGATCTCGACTCAAGATATGCTAGTTTTGGGTATGATATAGAAGATCTCTTATGGATGTAAGAAGATGTACTGCAGGACGGGTGCCTGTTCGTGTTTATGGAAGATTTAAATGTCTTTACAGTAAAGATGTCACAAAACTGATGGCCAATCATCCTCCTTGTCTAATACGGAGCATTAAATATTTCTGCTGAGACTACACATGATATGAAGGAGAAATAAAAGAAAATCCACTGATCGGTCTACGGATGTTCAAGTTGTTGAACATGGAGCTAAACGAGATCAAGAAACGGAAGAGTGTGATTGTAAATTCTCTCCTAACGTAACGGTCCTTTTTAAGGACAGCACATTTTCAAAGAAGAGATTGGAATTCCACGTCTGTTTTTTTTTCCCCAGCTATCTGCATCTTTCTATTTTCGTATGTAAGTACACTCACAACCAGTCCTTTTCAGGACTATGTTTAATAGGTCTTTTTTCTGGACTAACAAATTCTCAAAAAAAAAAGAGATTGGAATTTCATGTCTGTGTATTATTTTTCCCCCAGGGTTTTGTTTGCATACTCTACAGTCTCGTTCATCTCGTTTTACTTTAGCAAAAATTCATAAGCGCTATGTGTAATACCACAACGGTGACATGCGGTAATAAGCCGATCGATCGTGGCGTCTTTATAGTAACGTCGTTTCCATTGAGTGAGAGCGCAAAAAGTTTGGCTCCAGTCACTAAATCGATTCTCCTCTCTACATCAAAACATGTCGGCTTTCGTTAAACCAAGATTCAACATCAACTTTTCCCACTGACGTTGACTTCCATCCTCTGGCACATCACGACTCATCTTTACAATATTTCCCGCTAATTGACCGAGCTGACGCTCCGTTGGTGAAGCCATAGTTAATCGTATACTACGGACTCGAAATTGTTTAATATTTCCATCATCCTTCTGGGCTACACGATGTAAGGCTTTGTGCTATAATCATTTAAGGGATAGCCATTGTGCAATAAACATTTAAGGGATGGCCATTGTGCAATAATCATTTAAGGGATAGCCATTGTGCAATAATCATTTAAGGGATGGCCATTGTGCAATAATCATTTAAGGGATAGCCAGTGTGCAATAAACATTTAAGGGATGGCCATTGTGCAATAAACATTTAAGGGATAGCCATTGTGCAATAATCATTTAAGGGATAGCCATTGTGCAGTAATCATTTAAGGGATGCCATTGTACAATAAACATTTAAGGGATACCCGTTGTGCAATAAACATTTAAGGGGTGGCCATTGTGCAATAAACATTTAAGGGATGCCACTGTGCAATAAACATTTAAGGGATACCAATTGTTCAAAAATCATTAATATCCACTGTACAATAAACCATTAAGGGTATTTTATTATTATGTTAATTAGGCCCTATTGCTTTAGTTCTTCTGTGCAATAGAGACCCAACACACTACTACTCTGTTTTAAACATAACCACCATCCATTTGCAATTAGCTTTGCAAATGTAACGTCTTTCTTTAAGCTCAATCTACACTTATATTTAATTTTGAATTATATGGCTGCATGTCAACATTTTTCATCAATTTGGCTTTCATTTTTGTGTGTGCCGTCACTACAGTTATCGGGGCTCCAAGTGCTTAAATTTCATACCTAAAGTAAAAACAGTTTGATAATTTTTGAAGGCAGTTGAATCGTTTTCATTAGAAAAGATGTCAGCATGCATACGAGGCCAAATGAGAAGGACTAGCGCAGAAGAAGACAGGGAACGTGTAAAATATATATACAACTTTGACAGAGGGTCGCTTTTTATAAAAATAAAAATAAAAATTTAAAAAAAGGTTTTATCCCTTGTAAATATATGCAATTTAACCAAGAGACGTGAACAAGTCGCGGTTTATGTTAATTAAGGTGTGTATTCAGAGCTAACCTGTTTTC